GAGAGAGACAGCAGTTGAAACAGGTCTGTGAAAAACAAGAGAATTAATTTGTTTTGGTGAGACTAACCAAGAAGCTTGGCTGAATGTCATACATCAGAAGCTTTGGCACATCTCCTCCACTTTGAGGTACTGTGACATCAGTTATTTTTTGTTTACTGAATATCTTGATACACCAAGGTTTATTTCCTGCAGTAGTTATTTCAGTAGGGTTGCTTCGGTGAAAACAAAGGTAGAACTTGTACCTAGTGTGCTGTGTATGCTCTTTCTCCCTCTTGCTTCGTCTCTGTTTTTAATGTCTCCTCTTGCTGCCTTTTCACTGAAGAAGCATAGCCAGTTGCAAGGCAGCTTGCTTGATTGCATTTGAAAAAGCAAATCTGGCTGCTCTCCAAGATTTCTCATTTTCACTTACCTGGAATATTGCTTTAAACAGGAACCACATGTATTTACTGGTAGGCAACCCAATAATTTCATTCTCCACAGGAATTTTGGGATGCATACATGAATGGTATAAGCATGGGGAAAAAAAGTTATTTTGAATGAGAAACCTAGTGTCTACAAAAGTAGTGTTTGATACTTCAGGGTGGAATTTGGTTTAATTCCCCAGCATGTTAAATCATAACTAGGCATGTGTGATTTAATATAGCAGAGAGATTTCCTGATTTGTTTTTAATTGCCAGTATACACAGACTGCATTTTCAGCATGAGTTATTTTTATTTGAGATGAAAGAAAATGGGAACAATAACAAAGTCTTCATGAGAAAATACTTTCTGCAGTATATCATATTGACTCTGCCTTGCAAAATGTGAGTTTCAAGATGTCATGATGCCCAGAAAAGGAAAGTAAAGTCCCAGATCAAGAAAGGAGTCAAGCACAGCTCTAAATTCAATGGAACTTAAATAGAGGCTTTCTTTAAACACATAACTCAAAGTCTTAGAAATTAGGATGGATTTTTACATATACATACATATCTAGTATATATGTTTATTAATTACTGTTCTTTGTAATGGACTCACTAATAACAGAGCCATGTGTAACACATACCCAACATTGTTCCCATTACATGTTTAAAGCTAAGTTTTATTCTGTATATCCCCTACAGCTAAAGGTAGCTTGTTAGGAAGGGAATTGGCATTTACTCTTTCTCAGCCCTTCATCTGTATTAAAAGACTCACATCCTACTGTAACATTTTCATTTGCAACCCCTTCAGGCCAATAAAAAGCATAATCATTTTCCTCCCCAGTAACTGCATGGACATCAGCTTTAATTTCAGCACACTTTTCTCTTCCTAAACCTTTTTGTCTCGTAACAGCTGGTCAATATATTTCATCATTATGCCCCTTTTTCCAAAAACAGCCATGCCATGCTCCCAGTAATATACCTTCTTGACAACAACTTCATCCTAATTGTTACATCCTTTGTAATTTTATGCACATCCTACTGATGGATGTAGGATGTCTGGGAGGCATACATTATAGATTCTATTTCCTCCACCATATTTATCCAGTTCCTGTGCAAAATACATGCTATCTGCAACAAATAATAAAGTCTAGAAAACCTTTGATTAAAGTTGCCGGTATGGTGGACTTTGATACAGAGTTTGTATTTGCAAATAAAATTCTGCTTAATTTTCCCAGAGCTTTTTCAAATGTATGTACAAAAGCCTTGTTTATCCATTTGATCCTGGGAGATAAGCAGCAGTTCTAACATGCTTTAGTGAATGTGTCTGAAATTGTTTCAAAACAGTTGTGGACTGTTATCAAACAATTACTTCAGATAATCCAGAAACAATCAATAAAGTTCATGAGTTTTTGATATTCTGGCCAGTCAACACAAAGCTATGTGCTGGGACGAGCACCAGCTATAGCTACCTATATGACTGATTACTAATTACTCTGTGAAATCTAAACAATTTCTATCTCTATGTGTCCTGTGACAAAGTGAAGGATTAATCCAGAGCACTTATTAAAGTTACAAGCTGCATTCTCAGCAAGCAGCGTATTTTCTGAGGCTGCTCTTTCAAAAGCCTACTTATTCAAAGTATAAGCATACTAACCCATGGCACTCTTTCAGTGCCCTCTCCTCCATTCTTTAGGAGTACTTGAACTCTTCCAGTTCTGGACATAAGAACTCTGGCATATTTGTTAAAAGAAATATTACGCTGCTAGCAGGTTGGGAATGTTAACACTGCATAGAACCTACTAGCTATTGCCATCCCTCTTGATTACGTTTTTCCTTGTTCATGACAACTCAGAGATGGTGTTTAAATTAAGGCAAACAAGAAAAATAAATTTTCCATTAAAGAGTTAAAAGACTGTTCCTTTTGAGTAATAGGTCAAGTATTCTCACTGCTCAAATCCCCAGCAGACAAAGCAGTAATCTTATACAATTAAGAAAAAGGTAACAAATTAATATAGGCCAAAATTACACTACAAGTAGCACTAGTAATTTTGGTTTCAGTTTTGCATAGTTCTTTAGGACATAATTAATGTCTGTTTTTCTGAATCAGAGACATAATTAAGATGTTCTTAATCACCTTTTAGGTAGTTATGGAAAACTATTTTAAGACCAAATCAACTGCAGATTTTATCTAAAAAAAGTAACAAAAATTATGAAACTGAGTGATTGGTGAAAAACATGCATCTAAATTTTAAACCATTTTAGAAACATGTTAATAGATAATTATTATTTAAATATTACAATACCTAAAACCCCCCCACCCTCTTCCTACCTTCCCCTCAGGCTAGCCACCATTAGTGTAATTGGCTGATTTTCTAAATGCATTCTCCTTAGGAAGAATATTAAGTCAGATGATCTGAAGGAGTGGAGCATGAATGGGTCTCCAAATAATTTCAAGGGGGAGGATCTCCATAAACACAGAGCAGCACAGAGCAGCAGAAGTCAATGACTTCTGTTCCAGAGACTGACAAATGCAAACTCTGTGGGGAGAGAAGGTGGCTGCTGCAGGGAACTCTCAAGGACCTGTGAAGGTAAGGACAAAAAGCATGGGGAGCCAGAGAAGTACTTAGTTCAGGCAGGAAGCTGAGGTGGTCCTTTGAACCTGATTGTTACTGAGCCATCAGGCTTCAGGCTGAAAGAGTTCTGTGCAGCCTTTGCAGGCCTGATGAGAGTATTGTGCTTTCTTCCTCTTCTGTGACAAGGACAAGTTACATCTCCTCCTCTTTGCTGAGAAAATGTTAAGGAATCATGTAAAAACCTCAGAGCAGTTTTTTTGATTCTTGTGTTTATGATAGCTGACATCTGACAGGGCCCTGAATGCTCTCATGGGTTCTGTAACCCGTCTCCTGCTCCATCTCTGGGGTCTGGCTCCCTATACCTAAAGACAGCTACATTTTGGTGCAGCGGTGTCGCTTTGGTCAGACTATTGGGAAAGAGCTGAGAGGCCTCCATAGGGCCTCCGTTCCTTGCCTGAAGGTGAGATACTTGAAGGTGAGATACCTTCAGGCTTAGACCCTTGCTTCTATCTGTTGCTTTAGCGGTGTCTGTTTTATGAATATTTGTCTCTAGATCCCATGATTCTCTTCTCAAAACTGAAGACAACTAAAATACCCAATTAGCTCCTTCTACCTGCTTTTAAGACAAACCTCAAGGTGCACTAGCTGGATTAAGGAGAACACTCAGACTGAGGGCTCGCCTCCACAGGAATGGAGAATTTCTTGACCTCTAACTAGTGGTTAACCCAAATCCCTCCAAATGAAACTCAAGGCATTTCTGTCAGTAGAGAAAGGTGTGGCAAGACATAAGGCCCGACACTATACCTCTTGGAGTCATGAGGGAGAAAAGAGACCATAAAAACAAGAACTTCTCAGGTCTCCTTTCTGGATTTGTTTTATTCAAATTATCCAAAGCATAAGTCAATATACATTTTTGTTCATTGGCAGAGTGTTAGATGTGTGGTAAACAGAAACACAGATATAATACCTGTTTGTGTAATAGCCCACTCAGAGCTGAGTAGCTACCTCTCAACATGCACACTCACCTCACCCCCATTTTCCACCTCTTTGATCCCTGAAAATATTTACTTTACACTGAAAGCCAAAACCTCCTTCTACCCAACTAAACGAACAGCTGCACAAACTTCTGAAAAACATCTCTGAAGTCTTTTTCTACCAAAAAAAAAATTAAAAAAAAAATTTTTAAAAAAAGCCCAACTTGATCTTTTTGGTAAGAATTATTCTCTATAAACTTGTTGTCTCTGTTTATGGATCTGTTCCCTTCTGGAAATATAGGTTGCATCTCCCTGTTTGGCTCTAAAGGGCTTCAGTGTGATGAATCATTTTCATATATGAGATGTATCAAAAATTGGCTTAACACTTTAGATCAGCAGTCACAAGTTTAGGTCTGACTGGGAGCTTCTCAACACTTTATATTTTGGCCTGTGCTGTACATGTTTTGAACTACTATGGAGAAAAAGAAGATAAAAAGGAAAAAAGCAATCACTTCAGCATGTACAATGGCACATTTAAGTCAGCAAACTGGCTCCAAACAACTAAGAGTAAAATGAGGGTGTTCAGTGCATTCTGAGCATAAATGCCCATGTCCATTGAAGTCTCCTAGGCCTAGGTGCCTGAAAACAAGCTCAACTAACCAAAAAAAAAAAAAAAAAAAAAAAAAAAAACCAAAAAAAAAAAATCCCTGAAATGGCTGAGAGACTGACTAAATTATTTTTCAGCAGACAAAAAGGAAAAGAAAACCAAGATGTATCAGGAAACATGGAGGCACAGGCACACACGAGGCACAAGGGATGGTTATTTTTGGTGGTTACAACAGAATTCCCACTACCAATTTGCACTTTGAATTTAATAAGATAAATATAAAGCATTCATGCAGTTTCATCTGCCATGTACACCATGTGGCTGTGCTGTCAATTTTGTCTACGGAAGGGATTAGACTGGGACGCCTCCACAAGCAGCAGTGATCTCTCACTCACAAAAAGCAGCATGCAGCTTACTATCAAAAGTCAAGCAAACCATGTTTTACCCTTATTTATCACAGCATGGTTCAGCCAGGAATTGGAGGTTTCAACAAAAATGAATAATTTTACCAGTAAGCAATACAAACTTGAGATGCCCTTCACCGGTCCCAAAATATCTTGTTTTCCTGGATCACATCCATAGCCTGTATGTCAATGGTAGCTGTAGTCTGGCTGAAGTGACTCAGAATCAAAGCATGAAGCGGGGGGTTTAACACAGGAATTTATACTGAACCTACGATTACTTCATTTTCCCATAAACTTGCGGCACTCTGGGTGTAGCTCGGGGCCAGCTCTGATCGCGTTCGCGGCACCGCGCTCCCTTAGCGCACGCCGGGGGACACCAGTTTTAAAACCAGGGCATTACCCCGTGCTTCGAGACACTTTGCTACGAGGAGCCTAGTAAAATCCAGCGGGGCTGGTGGAAAAACCCCGAAGCTGCTGGCGGGGCAGGCAGGCGGGGCTCGGCTTCCCAACCCAGCTAAACAAACGGCTGATAAGGCGGCGCGGGCGGCAGCGCGGAGCTGGGAGCGGGGCCGCGTCTCTCCCAAGGTCAGCTATTTAGGGACAATAACAGGAACACGCGGCGGCGGCAGCGCTGCCCCGCCCAGCGCTGCCCGCCGGGCACGCTCCGCCACCTGGCGGCACCGGCCCGGGCCCCAGCCCGAACCCCAACCCCAACCCGAAGCCCGACCCCAAGCCGAAGCCGAAGCCGGGAGCCGCGGCGGCCCGGGAGGACGAGCTCCCATTTTGCAGTCGGGCCTGCCCAGCGCCTGCCTGCCGCCTGAGGGCTGGGCCCGCGGAATCCTCTCTGCCCTCAGGGTTCCCTCAGCCCGGCGTCTCCACGGTTTTCCTGACGGTCGCATGTCTTCTTTCTTGTGAAGCAGTGGTGGGTTTATAAGAATTTTCACAGGCACAGTAGTTGGCTTCACAGGTGGACAGCGCAGTTAAATGCCTTGATGCTGCGTCCTCTTTGTCGCAGTACATCTGTTGGGGGTTGGCAGCCCCCCTCCAGCCCATGCACACTGTGCCCTTAATCCCGTGTGGGTGCTCCTGGACTTCTTGCTAGTGCAATGTCCCATGAGTTACGTGTGCTTCCCTGGCCTGTGACTTCAGATTAGGGGCTTGCCACATTATACCGTTTGTCTGTGTGGTAGGGGAAGCCCCTCCATGATACTCATGAGTGAACATATGCTCAAACTCAAATGTGAGTAATTCTTCATAACAAGAAAAACTTTGCATTTCCTGGTGAACAGGATAAGCAGAGTGTTTAAATATACTTGTTTCAAAGAACTCTGCTTAATCTTCTGAATAAATTGTTTCAGAGAATAACAGCCGTAACAATCTATTCATTTTAGTATTAAAATAGCAAGAATGTATTTTAAACTATTTTTTCTGTCCCAGGAAACGGCCTGCCTACCTCCTTTTTTAAATACTATTTTTATTCTCTTGGTGGCCTGGATTCAGGATGGAGTTAATATTTTTCTCCATGACGCAGTAGGCAGAACATGCTGAAACTTTATGAACCCAGAAGCATATTCTCGGTGATAAACAAAAACAAACTAAAAAAAAACTTATTTGAAGAACTCTGCAACTCATATGGCTTTTACCATCTGGCACACAGTCCTGGCACACTGTAAATCCTTGCAAGTGGTATCTCCTTTACAGACCCTAATACATAAAACCCATATGCCAGTGGCTTGCAGAGGCCACCCCCTCAAGTTGCAGTCATCATATTGTAGCAGTGTGAGATCTTCTTTGAAGCCAAAGCTTTTATGGTATTTCAGAAGGTAAAAAAAATCCATCGCCTCCAAACTGTAAGGGTATGGACACTGACAGTGAGGCAACTTTCCTTCATGATGCCTTTCTTTGGAAATGTCACCAATCACACTCAACACAGAGAGCTGCGAGTTAAGCAAAGGCAAATCCAGAGAGAGGGATTGAATGTTGAGTGCTCTAAAGATAATTCCAGGGTTATCTCTGGAAAAAATTAAAACAACTCGCATTGAAACATTTAGTAATACAAGATACCAAGGTTACATTTGATGAATACCAACCCTAATGACAAATATACTCTGTGTAAATCTGAGCTCCATGACTTTTGGCAAGGATATTTGCCAGCAGCTCAAAAGTCCTGGCACAGAATATCCACATGCCCATAAATTTCTGCAGGCACAAATACATCTGTTAAATCATTCCTTCATGCTTCCCTTCAATATATAAAGTTCTAAGTGTTGAGCACTTCATCACTAAGCTGTCATAGGCCATCCCTGACCTCCCCAGCACAAAGGAACTGGTGGCCTGGGGGAGCTCAGAGTGGTTTCCCTGGAGCAGTATGTCTTCATCCACAGCAACTGAAAGGACACTGAAAAGCAGGAGGCCCTTAAAAGTTTAGATTAGATTACTCTGAATGAGGGCTGTCCTCATGGATTTTGATGTCAGAAGGCATAATCAGGTCTAACCCTATGAATAATACACGTGGTAATGGATCCAGCTCATCTCCTCTCTATACTCAGGACCTTTTTGATCTGCTAAAATGAGGCTAATGAAAATAAGGAATGTCTACATCTTACCGAGACCTTGTTTGCTTTCTGTGAAGAGCTGTCACCATTTCTTACCTGAACTGGGCAAGCACTAGAACGGTAGTAGGGTAAATACAAATTATTTAATCGTGTACTTTATGCATAGAGACATTTTTCTCAAATGCTGAGGTCACACAGCAGCTCTTTCTGATGGCATCACTGATGAAGGAATGTCCTGTTAGATTGCTGCTGCTGCTTCTGGATTATCCTAGGAGGTGGGTGTTCAATAATGGGGCTTCTGTGCAAAATATCAGCCTGTACGCACACAGAGGGATGCGCAACTTAAGGAACATGTTTAGGGTGAGGTACAATAAGAAAACAAGAATCCAATCTGGAAAAATGGTGTTTCTTCTCTATCCATACATACACTTAAAATCTGCAATTAGTTACTTTTTTGTTCTTAGAAAATTAGAAAATGTGATCTCTCCTTTGTATAAATATAAAACGTTAGTAGAATTCCTACCATAATAATACCAGCAGCAACTTCCATAGCCATTCATGGCCCTTTCTTTGACTAAGGGCTGTACTCAGAGAAGTGAAAGAAAGCCACTTCTTTGTGTCCCATCCAGTGACTTTTATCCCAAAGTCCATTCCCTATCCTTTGGAATTTTCAAGTACAGAAACTTTACCAATGTTTTTGTGTTGTTATAATATTTTAATTGAAAGAGTGAAGGGATTTTTAAATAGATAAAGCAATTTTTGATTTGATAGAACACTAACATTTGTCTGGTCACAAATGTAATACTAGAGTACCAAAAGACTTAGGGTTTGGTTATGGTATGTTATTTTTATATGCTCAAATTAATAATTGTTAATCTATTATAATAATGGATTTTTTTACCGTAGCAGCCACCTCTGTCATAGCTGGGATTTCTCTGTAGGAAGTACTGTACCATAGGAAAAAGCAGAAAAAAAAATAACCGATTCCCCAAAGCTTTTAAATTTAAGTGTACATACAGCAAGTCCCTTGTAGTGCAGGGCTTAAAACAGGGAAGTTCAAGGAACAGTAAAGCCAGTTAAATCAATATGATGGTTTGACAGCCCTTGACAGAATCTGGCTGCTTTCAAGAGATTTGCAGAAAATGTTGCCCAGGAGACTATTAAGGAAATGTTTAGAGGCAGATGACATGCTAACTTTGCACAGGTTCACAGGGACAACCCATGGCCTTCTCACTATGTGAAAAGCAAACTCTAAAAGGCGTATCCAAAACGTTAACAGGTGGATGATAGATGCTAGGATCTTAATGTGACAGGAAGCATAGGCAAGATTTTAAACCTGATCTAAAGAGATGAGTGGGAGAAATGATATGGGAGGAAGCCTGAGTGGGAAGAGCAGGAAACTGCTCTGTACAGTTGAAGAGCCACATGTTGATGCACAGGAGCAGATGAGTCTGTCAAAGACAAGAAAGAGAAAACCAGCCTTTGCAGCAGAATTGTCAATGAATCTCCTTCCTTTTGTCAACCTTAGAGGGGAAAAAAGAAGAAGTAAATATTAGTAAATGTTAAAAACAAGAATAGTTTTGAGATGTAGCAGGTGTCTCACGGGGTAAAAAGAAATGGCATATTCAGAGATGCTGTAATGGAAACATTTGTGGGTTTAAGCACAGCACTACAGCACAGTTATAGTGAAGCCTCACTGATATCAGAAGCATGATGTTGAAGAAAGTGGGACTACTTATTGTCTAGGAAAGACATTCTGGGTAAGGATGGAGAATTAACTCTGAGGCTGAATATGAGAAGGTTTTAAGGGATTTTGCTGGGGGCATTGTAAGTAGAATCTCTTTGCTATTAAGCATTGAACTATGAGTTCTGATATTAATAGGAATATGTATGTTTCACTATAAATCTTGACAGTAATATCTATCACTGATATAAAGAGCAGCACCATGGTAAACTAAGTGATTGAAAACAGGGACTATAGCTGAGGAAGTAAGAGAAGGTAAAGATGATTCTAGAACCTGTGTTCAATAGATGTAGCAGAAACTACAGTAAAAAATGTTCTCTATGTCCCCTGTCATTAAACAAGCAAGAAAAGTGAATAAAAGCCTCAGTCAGAGTTGGCTGAGAAATCTCATACCATCAGCATTTTTTATTGAAGTGAGGAAACCAAAGCCAGTTCATGTCATATTTTTTAGACATCTTGTTGAAGATCAGTTTCACGATGAATGTAAGCTGACCTAAAAAACTGCCTGATGCTGAGATGCATGGTCCAGCTTTCACCACATTTCTGCTGCTTCTTTTCTATTACCAAGGGAAATTGTTTTAAAGTTAACCCTGGAAGAATAGAATGAGTTTTAAACAACATGAGTGTATTGACTTGATCTCCCTGAGACTGATCAAATCACTGTAGCTTCTGCAAGGGAGTGGGCAGAAATGATCAGTTCTGGGTGGGATGGAGAGGGAAAAGACAGGACTGCTCTTTTCCAGGGCAACAGTATTAGATCAACTTTAAAACAGCAATATCAAAGTCAAAGCTTGTGTCAAATTTAGATGCTCTGAATGATGATTAGGAATACCTAGGCTTTATACATGTCTCTCTTCAACAGCTTTACAGAAAAGGAAAACAAATATGCTATATGAAAGACCAATGAAAAAAGACATATTCCATAAATTAAATTTTTTCATGGAAATTTTATTTTCCATCAATTTTTACTCCACATTTTCTTCCACATTTTTCATTAATTTCAATCCTTACATTCCACAGAAATGCATACTTATATTACATTAATTACTTCAGTCTGATTGTTGGGGATTCAAAGGCTGTAGCAAATTTTCACCTTTGACTAATTTGTTTATCGTTACTGTATTTGCAGATGTAGCAAAATACAGTATCTTAGTCTGAATGATTGAATTTGATTTCTGTTTTTTCAAAGTATCATAAAATATTTAAGAAGTTGTTCATATATTCTGTATTCTGGCTTTTGTTTCATCATTGGTGTTTTTACCCATAAATAGCTTTGAGCTTGTGCCTAGTACAGTGATCAGGCAAAAAACAAGAGAGAAAAACAAATGAACCAAAAAAAAAAAAAAGCATATCAGAATATTGTTGCAAAAACTCAACAATTATTCAATCACCCATGTTAAAAAAAAAATAATTACAGGCCCAGCACATATTTTCTGGGAATATTTAGCAATTAAATTTGGGACATTCATGTTTGCTGAACTTAAAAACTGCAGGCTTGAGCTCATAGAAGTAGACTTTAGACCATTCATTATTTTAGTAAGTACCTGCTTGCATGCTCATCCTATTAAGTAACCTGAATAATGTGTGACTTACCATGATTACCCAATTAAGCATACCAGTTCATAGTTTAAATGTCTAATAATTATACTTGAGGAAATTATAATTCAATTTAAAAATGCATTGAATGCATTCTCATTGGAGATAATTTGGAGAGGGCACTCTTATTTGTTTTGGATAACTCTCAAGAGAAGAAAATATATTTGCCATTTGAATTAAATGTTTATGTCTATCAAAACTACACAGAGCTGATTTTAGCTATATCCATAGATGCCAGTGAGGAACAGCATTTTCCTTTTAAACATATTTTATCAGCTTTGATTTGCCATCTAATCTTGATTCCTTTCCCTCTTCTTTTTCCCTCTCATTTACTGTTACAATTCTATTTTTAACTATTGGGATCTGAGTTATGCTGCCCAGAGTTTGCACTTTGATTTTTATCAACATGTTATTTTTTATATCTTTCATATCAATATGTCTTAACCCTATGGAGATTTTGTGAGAACCATGACATCATAAAAATTTATCTAAATTTAATAATATGTAACCAAGCAGGGAAAAAACTTAGGAAAAATAAACAAAGGCGTCTATTGTAGTAATTGCCATGAAAAGTTTGCAACATATCCATTCTTAATGAAACAATATGCTGAACAATGTTCTAATGACACAAGCGTACACAATATCTTTCCTATTTTAAGAATCTGTGCAACATCTAAAAAAAAGATGTTCAGAAATCAAACAAACAGATTATGTAACTCTAAAGTATGCAATTATGAAAGAAGAAAAAATAAAAAGTGAAGAAACAATTCAAACTTACAACAAAATTTATTAAAACAATTGATATATTCAGATGGTACAAGCAACTTTGTTGTGAATTCTGAGCAGAATGAGAACTAATAAAGAGCAAAACCAAAAAGGCAGGATTGTTCTTGTGTGCTGAAGCCAGGCATAGATGCATCTCTGGCTTTGCTTTTGCTGTTGTGATTCTTTTAGTGGTTCTGGTGGTACAAGAGGCACTGTTAGACATCAGATTGTAACTTCTGCCCTGTTTTATCTGGGAGCACAGCATATTTCAGAATGTGCTGTATCCCATTTTCAGAGGCCCATATTAATTGTTAAAGGCCTTCAGTCCAGGAAAGTAAACTTTAAGCATGTGCTTAATCACTTCCTGAAGCAAATCCTAGAAAATCAACTTTTTTAGTGCAATTTTTAATAGATTTTGTTTGCAGAGCATTTTTTTATCATATTAGTAGAATCAATCCACCTTGATGCCCTTATCCTTTTTAATAATTGATGTTCTTATTTGGCATTTTCACAATTGTGCATTAAGCATGAAGATTTCCTATTGGAGGTGTAAAATAGCCCTTCTGAAAGACATGGGAAGGGAAACACCCCAACACTATGTTTGCTGAAGCTATGCTGATTCTGCTTTGACATTCACCAAAGACAATGAGATACAGTTAACTACTGATTTCTTATCACTTTTGTTATTCCTGAGGTTGAAGCACTTTTTCCTTCTATAAATCTTCATGTGCATATTTACATGAAATCAATAGCTAAAAAAAAAAAATTAAAAAAAATTCCAAACCTAAGGTTTTTTATTTTCAAAGGACATTCTTTTTTATGTACTGCTCATGATGTCATTCTTGGGCCTTTCCTGTGCAGGGCCAGCATCTGGACTTCAACAGTCCTTGTGTGTTCCTTCCAGCTCAGAATGTTCTGTAATTCTGTACTACTTGACCCACTCTGTTAGACTAAGATGTTCTATCTATCAATAGAATCAGCTTTATTGCCTAGAAATTATGATAAATGCTAGGATACAGGATAGCTATCCCATGATATGGGATGTTGGTTAATCAGTGTCTGTATTACTTGAAAAGAATAGAAGTTCACCTAAATATAAAGTATTCTGATAGAATCATCCCACTGGTCTCTGAGATTCTGATCACTTTATTATTCTCAATCCTTCAAAACGTAAGAAAAATTACATCCTTTTAACAATAGGTAAGGAGTATGCTTTTCTCTTTACAGAAATTCCTGCCTGTCAAACTTTGTAAAAAGCAACAAATCATCATGCACCATTCAGAGCATGTGTTGCTAAATTTGGCTCTTTTCTATTTACTCAAATGTGAGGAATATTTCTAGAGGCCTACATTTTATAGAATTGACATGCCAAAAGTTCACTGACCACACTGTCTTCCTAAAAGCTTTGTTTGCTAGTTAGTTGTTTCTGAGTGCACTTATTCAAAAGGATTTTGAAGCTGCTGATGTGTTGTATTTGGTTCTTTTGAAATGCTGAAAACAGTGTCTTATTATGTTTAGATTTTAGCTTACCTTTGTAACCAGTTCTAATTGTTTAATTTAGTGGTGCTCTTTTAAGGTGGACAGCAGAAAAAAAATCTTCTCTTTTTAAATTATTTGAATTACTTGAAATTACTCCTGCAATCAAATGTCATTACATCAAATTAGTAAATAAATAGCTTTTTTTATTGAAAATTACAGCTGTCAGATAAATGTACCCAGATTAAACTTAAGAGTTCAGGGCTTGTTCAAGATCTCCCTGCCCAGCCTGGACAAGAACTGTCCATCTTCTTGCACCTAAGTTTACACACTGTAAAATGGAAAAAAAGTAACTCATCTCTTAGTCCCCATCTTTGTGCATTACTGTGATTTTATGCAATGAGAATCAAGAACTTTCACTAATTATACAGTAAGAACCATAATTTGTGAACAAATTTAACACATTCGTGGTTTTAAGAATGAGAGTAATCCCACTGAGATGCTCTCTATGTGGCCTGTCTTTACAGAGTCCTTAGGATTAGTCACAAAGTATGAAGACTACTGTGGTGTATCTGCAGTTAGATGCCATTTCTGTGCTATATTTGCAGTTAGATGCCATTAAATTGCCTTCTTGATCCCATTTTTAAGAAAGATTTAGAGACAGCTTGTGGCTTAGCCCATATGATAATGACCACGATAGAGTGAAAAGAAACTGCATTTCCCTCTGTATCATGTCATTCTGAATCCAGGCTGAAGGTTAGATCTAGCCTCCCTTTTTTTTGACACTGAAAATTATACATGTTTATCTCTTAAGTATCAGGTATGCTTTTCTTCAGCTGTCAGTGAGACTTAATTCTGTTGTTAAAGGATTTGGCAGTTTGCAACTGTTAAAAACAGTTTGCAAGGGATATTGTTGCCCTTGGCTGAGTTTTGCATTTTAGCTGTATCCCTATTTAAAACCTCTGTATTTTCCATGTCGCATGAATTGTCAAGTGTCGTCTTTCAGAAGAATGGACAGCAGCCTTCACTACAAACATACAGAGTATACCTATGTTCCCAGTGTGCTGTTTATGTATTTTATAGGTTGGCTTAGTATTTACTTAAATGTGCATTAAAAAAAGATAATATCTGTATGCTTCAACAGTGAAAAATAAACAATAGAATCATCACAAAAATGAAAGTCAGAATGACAGAATATTCTTTGTATATGCACATCAGCAACAAAATGTAGAAATCATCTAAATTAAATCTTCCCAGATCTAAAACTTCCAAGTAAACACCAACTTGGGATATTCAGCATTTCTCATTTTAATGTAACATGCCTTCTAGGAGAACAAATAAATTTAAGCTATTTTAGTTTGGACAGAAAATTAACTCTAATTTGCAGATACCTTCCCAGAGAAACCTCTAACAGTAATGTCTATTCTTAGCAACAGAGGAAATTCTGAGTACCTCTGTGACTTATGTTATCTGATACCTAATGTTTTGGAGCAGTTTTGCGAGGGGGGGTGGAGGGCAGCAGGGTGCAGTCCCATGAAGACACCATAGGCATGTAAGTATTTGCTCCATCTGTGATAGAGTAAGTTCCTTTTAGAAGAGGAGTGTGTAAAGTAAAAAGCATGTTTTTCTTTAATTGAGAAAAACTAGCCCTAACAATTGATTTGAAATAATGAATTTATGCTTGGAAAATATGCACTACCTGCATTTGTATCTTGTTTAAGTAAGAACTGACGTTCTCACTCACATTGATTGTGAAGCCCTTAAAATGAAAAATAATCATATCTTATTCTGATAAAATACATGTGTTTACATGAGTGTATATATATATATATATATATATATATATATATATGCACATATATATACACACATTTGTGTATATATATATATACATATTTCCAAGAAAGGAGTAATTGAAAACTGGCTCAAATTATTTCTCCATAAGGAGAGAAGGGAGGCTTCCCAATATTTGAATATTTAAACTGATATGTGTCAGCATTGAGTATGAAGTTAACACCAGTTATGAATACAACCTCCCTGCTGGGCAGCCATTAGAAAGTTGTTCTTTCCAATTCCTGTGTAAATATCTAGGTTAGATTCCTAATAAAAATTCTCTGAACTTTAGCTGAAACAAAAATAACAGAACTATTTGAGGTTTGTTACAGTCACGTCTATATCCAGCTGACCTTGTCCCAATTTTAGCTTTGTTTCCCTTTTCTGTGTGGCTTCTGGGAAACCTCCTTAAAAATAAAATCTACTCAGAGGATGAAATACTGAACTTCTTACTCTGATAAAACTTCTATCTAGCTCTGCCTTGCAAACAGTTGCCTTTGCACTCCTTATTTTTTTCAGAATCAGTGCTAAAGTTCCACTGCAAAGGCAATAATAACCTAGAACAAATTAGGATATATTGAACACAGTAAATTTGTGCCAAATGAAGATTCATAATACTGGAAAAAAATTACCACCAGTTCAAGCATATAGGAATCTTAACAGTAAATAATGGCTGTACACTGAACATTAAGAATTTGTTTACTATTTTTTTAAGGTGTAGAAAAAGTAGTAAAGTAACTTTAAAGAAGCTAATATTAAGTTCAGCAAAGTATTTTCATTTTAGACCATATACTTAGGACTAGACTATGCCTTTAAAAAGTGAGTACAGAGCACTTTTTCCAGGTTTTGATCCTGAGATGAAAGGGGAAGAAAGAGATAGAATGTGTTGCTTCCCTCCTCTAAAGGAGAAGCTAAGATTGTCCAGTTTTTAGCTTTGCACTGGGCTGTAAAGCAAGATCAACACAGGTATTTTGTCCCTTCATGTCCCATGGTGGGAGCATGGACTACTTCAGTTATCTACCTGGCAACACTGAGAAAAATATTTGGGCGTTTATATTCTTCTTTTCCTTTGTTTCTTGCTCTTCCTCAGTTTCTCTATTATTATTAGCTTGACCTCTTCTGTAAAGTACTTTAAAATATTTAATGAAAATGCTACAATCCTTATATTTATTTTTAATTGAAACAATAGGAGACAAATGCAGCATCATTGGTAATTGTTAGACCAATTTTCCTTTAAATAGTAAAGACTGTCAGTCTGTTCAATGATGATCAAGTATGTACCAGCAAAGTTTAAATTCCTGTCTCTGTTTCTCAAATATGCTAAAAATTTATATTCTGTTCTGGTAAGCTAAAAGAATCTTAAAACTTAAACCTCAAAGGTCTCATAAATCAGAGTTTTCCCAGGGACATAATATATACTTATTGTGAAATACTGTAATAAAAAAAGCAGGAAGCCTAATTTGTAGCCACCATTGCACTTGTGGGCATTTTGTAAGCAGAAGAGAAGACTTCTAACTAAGAATTTACATATAAACTTTTCTGATCTTGTCACAATAGACAACACAAACATTCACGTGTGCGGTCCCGGTCCCTGTAAGTGTTGCAGTGCTCCATTAAAATGCTTGCTTGCTAAGCCTCAAATGCTGCTGCTCAGAATACTGTCAGTGGCTAAGGATAGATCTTTCACAGCCTCACAAGGCCACAGCAAATGAAGCACTCCCCAGTGTAGACCTGAGCTGCTCTGACCTCTACAGAGGCAGAGGTAGACTGTGCAGGTTCACCGGCTGCCCTTGCCCTTTCCCAAGTCAGCTGCATGATATGGTGCAAAAAAAGAAAAAAAAATGCTGAGGATTGCATAAGGCATCTTTGAAAGGCATACTGTGCAAATCCTTTCTCTGTATCCTGTTGTTTTTACCAGAATCGCACAGGGAAGTATAGCTTTTGCATCCTCCCCACTTTACCCAGAGTAGTAAATTCCAAAGTCTAATAGAAATAGCCAAAGGATTAAGACAAGAAGGACCTGTGGGCCAGTGTGTCGTCCTCATCTGTTGGTTTTTTTATTTCTAGTAGTACAGCTGTTGATGTTGTGTGGGACTACCAACAAAAACTGGACCAGATGTTTTATCTACTGGAGTAAATGCTAATACTCACCCATAAGGGGAGCAGGCTCCAAGAACTTGTGAAACAGGTGCTACAAAACACATAGCTATATTTGGAAGAGATTTTTGGATACCACCTACGTGGCAAAGCATGAGGTATTGATTTCAAACTTTTTAAACATTCATCTTGTGGAAAACCCCCACAAAAAATCTTTTGGGAGGAAGTCTGCAACAGGATGGATCCACAGTCACAGAAATACGATTTCATAAGATGATACCCTGCTAAATGAACAATAAACCACCTATTCAGGATATAACTTTCTCCATGTTACATTTTATGGCCAGAAAAACATTTGCAAGAAAAATACTGACACACTTAGAGGTTTGAAGGATGACACTCTTGAGCATCCAGTAGGATACAAATCATTCCCTAGAGCACTATAAGTTCTAACATCTTTTAAAGAACAACAATGGATTAATCTTTTAATCGATGTCACAGGTAAATTATGTTAACTGAAGTAGTAGATTTTTAAAACGATTTCAAATTAAAATTGTCTTAAGGTACACTAAAGTAGGAAAATTATAATGATAAAATGTAATGAATTAAAGAACTTTGATTTGACCTACTTGAACATATGCACTGTAACAGTCTTGTTCTGCAGTACACAAAAGTTCCTGGCAAAGTAAAGCTTTTGCAGATCTCACTTTGGTAAAACTAAGTAAAAGAAAAAAATTCTTTTTTCTTTCTCTTTTGCTTCATTCACCATCTATCTCAGACTCTAAATGGCAGAGAGGAATATGATGTAAATTAGGTATATAAATTAGCCAAATGAAGGTTACACAACACATTATGTGCACAAAATTAATAACACCCACTTGAAGTGTTTAGTCAGGAAGTGCAAATGAGAAGTTTTGAGACCTTTCTCAGTACCTCCTTAACAAACTCTACTGAGGATATAGAAATTATATCCTCAAAGGTTTTGTAATTTAGACAATTCTGTCTGGGTATTCCTTAGATTGGCATATTCATCTGTCTTATTTCAGGACTGTTTTTTCTGTCTCTAAAAGTAATCTTGATGGTAGTGGTAGAGTTCTAGTAAATAGTGATTTGCGAGAAGAGGAGATAACTAAACATTTGCAGAGACACTTCTTTACCTTTCATTCATTATTTTTCTTTTCATTTTAAGTTAAAATAAAAAATCTGCTTGGAACAAAGAATAAATTTGAATCCTCTGTTCCACCCACCTGGACAGCCCATTTCAATGCCCAGTCACTCCTTCTGTGAAGAACTTCTCCCTAATACCCAAACTAAAGCTCCTCTGGCACAGGTTAAGACTGTGTCCTCTTGTCCTGTCCCTGGTTGCCTGGGAGAAGTGACCAACCCCCACCTGGCTACACTCTCCTTTCAGGGAGTTGTAGAGAGTGATGAGATCTCCCCATAGCCTACTGGGTAAACACCCCCAGTTGCCTCAGCTGCTCCTTACAGAACTTGTCTTCCAGACCATTCCCCAGCTCCATTACCCTTTTCTGGACATACTTCAGCATGTCAACATCCTTCCTGAACTGAGGGGTCAGAACTGGACACAGGACTCCAGTTATGGCCTAACTAGTGCTGAGTGCAGGGGAAGAACGGCTTCCCTGGTTCTGCTGGCTACGCTATTGCTGAATCAGGCCAGGATGCCATTGGCCTTCCTGGCCACCTGAGCACACTGCTGGCTCATGTTCATCCTGCTGTCAATCAGTACCCTCAGGTCCCTTTCTGCCTGGCTGCTGTCCAGCCACTCTGTCCCCAACCCACTGTGTTGTAGTGTGCTGTTAGGGAAAAACTTCAAGACCTGGCGCGTAGTATTGTTAAACCTCATATTGTTGGATTCAGCCTGTCTATCCAGTCTGTCCAGGTCCCTCTGCAGAACCCTCCTACCCTCCAGCAGATCAACACTTGCACCCAGCTTGGTGTCATCTGCAAACTTGCTAATGATGAACTCAATCCCCTCATACAATCATCAATAAAGATATTAAACAGGACTGGGCCCAGTCCCTGGGGTACACCACTAGTGACCAGACACCAGCTGGATGCAGCACCAATCCCCATTGCTCTCTGGGCCCAGCCATCAGCCAGTTCTTAACCCAGCAAACAGTACATCTGTCCTAGCCATGGGCTGCCATTGTCCAGGTAGACAACATCCACAGCCTTTCCTGCATCCACCTAGGTGGGTCACCTGATCATAAAAAGAAAGCAGGATGGTCAAGCACAACCCGCCCCTCCTAACTCGTGCTGGTCTGATCCTCCAGCCATCCTGTAGGCGCCGTGTGGTGGCACTCAAGATGATCTGTTCCATAACCTCGCCAGGCACCAAGGTAAGGCTGACAGGCCTGTATTTTCCCAGATCCTCCTTTCAGCCCTTCTTATGGATGGGCATCACACTGGGCAGCTTCCAGTCATCTGGGGCCTCCACAGTGAGCCAGGACCAATGATAAATTATGGACAGCAGCTTGGCAAGCTCATCTGCCAGCTCCCTCATCACCCTGGGATGGATCCCATCTGGTCCCGTAGACTTATGATCCTCCAAGTGGCTCAGAAGATCACTATTTGCTTCCTCCTGGATTACAGGGGTCTATTCTGCTCCCAAAATTGTGCTGATGGGAACCAGCCCTTTAGACATTTATTGATAACCTGGGTTTTCCTGTTCCTTTGATCATCCATCCTTGCTACTTAAGGAAGTGAGCAGAATGCCACCTGTGCTCCTGTCCTATCAACCAATCGACCCAAAGCCTTGAAGCCTGTTTTAATTATCCTGGTACTTTTCTTATCAACCTCATCACTGCCAATGTGGACAACCAGCAGAGGGTAATAATCAGAGGGCTGAATTAGCTCAGGAAGCCTCCTGGTAATATCCTGTATCTGGGCCCCAGGAAGGCAGCATAAAACTATCCACTCCATAATGAGGAGATGTGTTGGAATTAAGGCTTTTACATTTATGGAATGTTGTAATATATTCTCAATTATTGATTATTAATCAATTCATTTAAAGAATGTAAGGATCAACTTCCTCCAAGAATAACTAAAACAAGGTCAATTCCAACGGTCAGTACACATCCTATTACTTCTGCAGCAGTCTTTTTGAAAATGGAGACTAGAAGGATGGAAATAATGAAGAAGAATTAAAAAAGACTATAAGATCTGACACTATGAATTCTTAATTTCCCTCTTCTAGCTGGTTTAAGGACACTTTCCTCATTCTTAATAGTGCATTCCCCAGAAACCAAGTAAAATCATTCCCTATTTTTTGCTTACCAAAGGTCAGAGGGAACCAAGCCAAGGTCTGTTCCTATCCTGTTCTGGCTTATAAAGAAAGTCTTCATTCTTGGTGGAGTCAACTGCTCCCAAAGGCATGTAGCAGTACCATAAATATTTCAAATACCAGCTGTATGCTGGGAAGCTCCGGGAGGCATTGGGGTCTCAGTGGAACAAGATGCCTCCCCTGGGAAGTCATGAGGTTGTATAATGCTGAGCTGTGCTTACAGGGATAACCAGGCTTCCTATGTTTCTTATTAAAACTTAGATTACTTCTTGCTCCTTTTAAGTCTGCATTTGTGGTTTCTTATTAACCATTCCTTTAGCATATTATCAAAGTCTGATGATACAAAGTCCATTGTGTGCATTCCTTTACTTTTAATCCAGTTTCCCCAGGAATATGGCTTGCAGCTATAGCATTTGTAAGCTTTCGTGTTGCCTATCTGCCAGACCCTGGAAAATCTGTTAGCTACTTCTGCCCAAATTCAACGGGGAGCTGAAAGACTCTTCTGTATACATTTCCTACAAGTCTCATGAAAATAACTGGCCGCAAAGGTCGAGGGGATACAGACATTGCTGTCCTGGCAGCAAAGGCTGCAGTGTGAGTGCAGTCATGGTTAGGCATAGGAGAATCCACATGGAAATTCACCCTCAGAAAAAAATACTATAAAAATAAGGCTTCATTAATTCCACTGTTTATGGAACTACTTGATTTAGGTAACATATCTACATTTGAAAATCAGATGACAGGAATATCTCTGTTAATTTATGGATCATTAACAATTTTGTATACTAATGTATTCACTTGATCCTGCTCCCATCAACATCAAAGGGAACTTTCCACCAAGTTAAGAGGTAATTGGACTAGGCCCATGCATAAACATTTATAATACTAACATTTATAATATGTATATATATATAATAATATATAATTATATATTATATAGAATACTAACATTAAAACATAATTATTTTGTAAAAGTCTCAAAAGCAGAAACAAAAGAAACATTTTAATCCAGTTCTAAATGCTGTGGTAGAGTTCATTTATACAAAACAACAGCATAAAAGGAAACCACAAATTCATATTTATAAAGTCATAAATGAGTGTACCATAAGTGCAAGTAATGTTCACTTCCTTCACTATTCCTGCAATTTTATTATATTTTGGAAATGAAACTTTCCATTATTCAGTAACACTCAACTTACAGAGGAGGTTTTCACTGAAGTGTAAGATGGCCAAAGTTATTCTGCTGGATGGAAAATTAATGTATATGAGGTATGGGATTCCATGACTCCTTTTTTAAAACATCTCTATAAATTAACATAAGACTATTCAAAAGGTTTGGCTTTCACAGATTCATGGAAGTCCTACAGAGGCTTTGGTAAATGCCTCCACTGAGGAAATATTTCATATCCTCCAGTAGCCTGCTATTCCACCCAAGAGAGCATTCCTATTCTTTTGAACCTAAGTTAAAGCTCAGCTAAGAAGCCATTAACTGTCCACATTAATCCTGTATTGGAAAATCCTTCGGGGGGGATGGAATTCCATGGCAAAGTCTTAGCAGATTTTCCGCTGTATTGTTCTTGTCGGGAGAAACAGGGGTAGTGTTCCCACAGAATGATCAGTGGGCCCAGTCCAAGGGGCTCTCACAGGATTCATCAGGGTCTAGGAGCAGCAATCACACATAAAATTCCCATATCTTCTGATGGCATTTTTGATCTACTTCTGCCAAAAATTGTATTATCAAGTTCTTCCTCTCTTGGTGCTAAATGGCATATACATATATATATATATATATATATATATGTATATTTAAAAAAAAAAAAAAAAAGAAAATTAGGTTTTGCTTAAAGTGTGAGCATTTGAAGTGTCTATTCTTAGAGAAAGTCCTCAACTGGTTGCTGATTCTACTTGAGACCAAATTAGCTGGGAGAAAAGGCTTCACATGGGAAGGTCATCCAGATGAGAAAGGAAGATGCATGCTGCTTTCCAGCTTCTTGAGAATTGTTGAACTAGGGTTACTCAAGCATGGCACTATCCCCTCACTATTCCCTAATATGCTGTGACTGAGGCTTTCTCCGTGCTGTAACTGGTGCTGTCTATCATGAGAAAAAGAGACACATAGAGACAATATGATGGTTGGGGTCTGGAAAACACATGAAACATCTGGGCTCAATGTTGTGCTTTAATGCAAAGCGGAAGCTTCCCCACCTAAAGAAGATCTGCCCAGAGTCATCTGTGCTGTGCTGTAGCCATACTGTTCAAGAAAGAGGATAATACAGATTCCAGTCTTCTCAGGTAGAGAAAAGCTTTCCTTAACACTTCCCCCCTTCCTGGGCGTCTGATATGAGAAAAAGCCACTAACACCACTTGGAATCTAATTTTCCATCTCCTTGATTTTCATCAGTGTGTACCTAAAAACCAAAATACTTTAGTGTCCTAAATGGCAAATTAATGACTAAAAGCTACCAAAATATTTCAGCATTGCACAATCAAAAATCAGATTTCCCCAATTTGGATGAATTGGATTCCATTCAATTTTACAGATTTTCATGTTGACAATGAGAAATAAAAATATTCAAATGGCTTTATTGTCTGTGTAATTGGTTTGACAGCTGAATAAAAAATTGCCACAAACCAAAACCCAAAAATAAACAGAAAAAACCACCAAAAAAACTCTTCAGAGTCTTTGCCCCCCAAGCAAGGTTCTTTGTGTAATGCAGCAGAAATGAGTGTCACCCTTCAAAGACAAACTCTTTCAGATTATGTTGAATAATTTTCTGTTTTCTGCCAGAACTTCATAACAGTTGGCTTGTCAAGAATCCATGTGATCATGTAGAGCAACTTGGATAAATGTAAAGATGTTCAGCTTTCTCATCTGCCTTGCTGGGATATAAAAATTGTCACATTATCCCTTAGATTTCCAGCTAATTTTTGCTGATGGAGGTGAATGGTCACTGAGACATAGTATTATCATTGTTGCCATACCTCCTGTACTGGAAAAGATGTTATTACTACATTTGCTATTGTTTGCTTTTGTATAAAAAGAAGAGACTTGGGCTAAGAGACGTCATCTGTTGAGCACATATGCTTCTATTTCCAAGAATCTGGATAATTTAATTATATTATCTGTTACAAAATGTTCTTCATACAAAAAGTGGTATTTGAACAAATTATTTTAATTAATACTGAATTTTAATGCATGTCATAAAATGCCGTTTTTTCCCAGACAGAATATGCTCTTGTTGACTGATGTGATATGGATAAGTTAGTGTAGAATTAGAATTTAGTCTATTAACTACCACTTCTGCCAAAGGCCAACATTCACTCTCTACCTATTTTTTGTGATATGTATTTGGTGCCAGAGAATGCTGTATATAGGAACTTATCTTCATCCTCTCTTGAGCTACTGTTCTTGCCTCATTTACTACTACATCCCTTGGCTATTGCCTCAAATTCTTTACTAAGGTTACACTTTAGGTTTACTAAGGTTACACTTTTAGTCAGTATTTTAAAAAATTCCAAAAATCTTTGGGTGAACTTATACATAACAGAGTTAATTCAAATAAGAAATTAGCTCTGTTAAATACCCAAAATACATAATTCTTTTTCTGAGTTTTTTATAAATTCTGTTTCAATTTCACAGGACTGTGTGAATAGAGATAGCTGCAGTTCTGTGAAATCTGTAGAAAATGTGTGCTTTTAAACTTGCCTATCACAAATTCTTCATAACAGTTCACATTTATGGAGAAAAACAATAAGAGAAAGAAAAAGAGGAAAAGGAGAAATGAAGCCAGGATGCTAAGACTAAGGCTGATTATTCAGAGGTGAGAAGTGTGTTGCAGATATAAAGACAGTTTGCAGATAGTTCCCCTAAATGTCAAATTTCATTGCTTTACCCATGCATACGTACCTGTACCTCAGAAAAATTTTGTTTGTATTTAGTAAGGCTTTCCATGGGCCTTAGGAATTCCTTAGCAGAATTCCAGCTAAAGATAGATTTGGAGGTGCTGCCTCCAAAGGTCCCAGTACCTGACAGATGAGATTAGGGACCAGTGGTACCCCAAAGTGAGAAGGTAGCTATACTACCCAAACAGGAAAGAATTGCCAGGTACCAACTTCCCTGTCACATCTTGCTCAAATAATGCAAATGTCCAGCCCTCCTCTTCCACCACTGCCAGTCTCTTCCTTCACCAGCACTGGCTCTAATTGCATTTAAAGCATCACAGAAGTTAAACTAACATGCAATTCTGACAGAAAATCACCATTCTAGAAGTTCAGCATTAATTAGTGGCCTATAGAAATTACCTTTTTCTTATATTAGGTTGAGATTATATTTATTTCTAATTGCTGATTTTTCAGTTTTTGTATTTGGAATATTTTAATAGTACAGTTTTAACCCTTATATATCCTGAAGAAAAACCTATAAATATTTGTAGATGTAGAAGCAGCCCTTTGACTAATATTAACATTGGCCACTTCAATGTTATTTTTAAAGATACTGGTGATTGTGTTGCTGTTCTAATAGTAATAAAGAGAAGGAAGTGTTCTATGTACATTGTAGCAGTGAAATAAACAGAAAAGTACATCTAAATGGAGTCCTAGGACTACCAAAGAACCAGTCCTCTGCCCCTCTTCACCAAACATATTGACAGTTTCTGATTTCCTTTAGGTATTATCCAGCAGTAAAAGTCACCAATAATTTGTCTCACCTGACAGAAACTGCCAGCACATGGTAGAACTTGAGCTTTCATCTCACTCATCTGAAATACATGTCAAAATAGGTGACAGGTGTTGTCTGCATTGTCCCCAGATTGTTGAAAAAGCTCATTTTATAGCCCTAGTGCACCTTGGTATTGATTCCAATGAATGAATGTTGATGATTCTTCTCCGTGTGTGGAGACACGAGGCTTGACTCCATTTCAGAAGGCTGATTTATTATGTTAGATATTATATTAAAATGCTACATTAAGACTATACTAAAGAACAGAGAGATCAGAAGGCTACAACAAGAACAGAGCAGAATAGAATAACAAAAATCCTGTGACTGCTCACAGCCTTGGCACAGGTGGCTGTGATTGGTCATCAATGGAAAACAATCCACATGGACCAATCACAGATGCACCTGTTGCATTCCACAGCAGCAGATAGTAATTGTTTACATTTCTCTCCCGACGCTCCTCAGCTTCTCAGGAGAGGAAAAATCCCAGCAAAGGATTTTCATAATATCATAGCTACAAATGAAAGCTGTAAACAATAAAACAGGAAAGTAACTGAGAAAACAGGCAAAAATAAAATAGTATTTTGGAATGAATGGGAAGTTTTGCAAAAGACAGAGCACCTGGTTGCTCTGATTTGAACTCCAAACAGTAATTTCAGATAATATGGCTGCAATGTGATCTAATATTTCCATATTGAATAGTGAACACTATTCCTCAATTAATTTTTTTCTCCAGCAGAAGGTTTAAATAGAAAGACACACTTTGGCATTTAAAGCAATATAATCTAAAGGACAACTGTCAAGTTTAACCTTTTACATGTCACGACTGTGAAATGATTGAGACTATTGATAGACAAATGTATAACAGGGAAAAACAACTAAAAAAAATTTACCTGTAATACCTTATAATATAAGAAACATTATAAATAGCTAATGTCTTGTTCACATCTGAGAATTTCAAATGTCCTGATAATATTCTATGTGTTGACATTTCCTGGGTAAGTAGTCTTGTTTCCTATTTATTCTACATATGCAATCAATATTGTCATGGTTACAGTCCAGCTAAATTATTAATACATATGTACAAAAATTCTGAGAGCAGTTAGATTTAGAATGAAAGTGAGCATTCCAGATTTGTACATTCCTTCTCTGTCTACCAAAGAAATAAAAGAAAGGAGAAATCAGAATCATAGTTGAATAAAATGACATGTAATTCACATAAGTAATTATTAGGTAGAACTTTATTAAGTTAATTAGAGCATTTTTACCAGCTTCACTAGGTGTTCTGTCCTTTAGTTACGTGCATCCAGTTCTTCTTAGAGCATTAGTCTCAATGAGTTTTAGGAGTGAGACAAATTAAGATTTTTCTACTAAAAATGTGTTCATCAGTTATAGTTAAACCAAACTCTTTTTGTCACTCTTAGGCTTTAAATCTCACTTACTAAAAATTGCATTTTAGTAGCAAAAAGACAAAGCATTGAATATAAACTAAGACATCTGTCTGAATTATTCTGGTTGACTAGAAAAATTAATTGATACATAGAGAATAATAAATGTTCAAGGAGTATTCCTTTTGATAATTTTCTCTTTTCTTTGCCTATTTTGTAAATTTAAAAAAAATTCTCATAACAAATGTAAAATATCAAAGGTATTATGGAATAATTTGTAATATAAATACCCAGGTGGAATTGAAATACTGCATACTGCATAATTACAGTTTTTATAGCTTCAACTAAAGAATTAAAAATACCTTATCTTTTTCATATTTTAAAAGTTTTGTCTCAGAATTGTTATATTGAGAATGAATACCCACATAACTTTAAGAATTAGAAGAATCCATTTGTATAGTTTGTTTGTGTTCATTCCAAAAAGTTCTCTGTAAAACATATTATCTAAATCCAATTACATGGCTTAAGCTGAATCAAGGACCACGCTTTCTTGTATAAGTGAAAACAAACAAACAAACAAACAAAAAAAAAAACCAAACCAAAACAAAGCAAAGAAATAAAAACCCCACCAAAGTCTCTCTGTAATTTGAGCGATAAGAAAATGTTATTAAAAAACAAGAATGTGTCAGCATCTTGATCTGCTGAAAGTAATATTGGATGACCAGGGAAAGGCAGGTGATTCAAGATGCTTTTGCCCTGCCTTGATGCTGGATATAAACACAGAATTGTGTAGAAAGGACATGGACTTTTTTGCATCCCACTGCCAGATGTTCTGAGTCTCTTTCATGTAAGTCAAGGGAACTGCGGATTGTCCTTTTCCTGATTGCCTGTTCAAGTTCTTGAGACAGTATCAATGGTTTTAGCCTCATAAAATCTACTACAAATACTAATATGTCAACAGGACTGGAACACCACTTTAGATCTGACCACAAGATCCAGCTGAAGGCTGAGAAAACATTTCCAAAATGCACATCAGTACAGTGACAGTGCTACACTTCCCCAAGCTGGACTGTAGCTGAGACAGAGGGTGAAAAAGCTGTATGCAGCCTGTACAATAGTCACAAGTGTGATCTGCTTGCTGCTTCAAATCTAGTAATGAAAAATCACCCATAGAAGCAAATCAACAGGGCAGTAAAGAATACCTTTTTACTACTACTCTGCATGTTAAGAGTTAAGCAGACACAGCATTACAGCAAATCTTTCTCCTCACTACTAAGTATGAAAACTTTAACAGCTTCACAGCCATAAGGTAACAGGAGCCCTGTAGCAATGCTTCTGGTAGAATTCAAAGATGAGCTTGTGAGACTTGATTACATTTTTTTAGTAAGTTTTTCCAAACTTCTAACCTAAACTCTTTGTATCTTCTTTTCTGAAGAAAAAAATTATTTTTTTTAATAATAAAAAAGTGAAGAGAGAGGAAAAAAACAACAAGACAGGCACTCAAGAGAATACATTAATTATATTAAACCTTACAAAATCTTCATAACTAAACTCACTATCATGAGTTAATGCATGCTAAAATTACCTATATGCTCTAGAACCTAGTTACTGTGGGGGCAGGTTGTAAAAGGCTGTAATCAGCTGTGGGGGCTAGACCAACTAACTAGGAAAGGAGATGGGAATGGTTGCTTTAATGTAATCCCAAAAATAAGGCATTTCCTAGAAAGGGGGTCTGCTTGAGCTCAAAAGCAATGATGACCTGAACATTGAGAGAAGAACCCTTCTGATTTAAAAAGGATAGCATTGACATGGCTGTTGACATTAATCCCATATATACTAAGAGGGAAGGACTGTGAGAATTATACTGATAATGTCTTGTGGTTTTATTTTTTTATCATTAGGAAGTGATAGAATTTGAAATATCTAGGAAACTGCTAATATATTGCAAGTTCCTACCAATGCTAGGATGCTATTCCCCATAACTATATCCAACCCATCTATCCCCCTGGTTTGAGAAAGTTTTTCTTGTCTGCTTGTTCTCTGTGAGTCTGAACTAATCAATCCATCCTCCTTCCCATCTTTCTTATTGCTGAGACTCCTCTTCTCCTCAGGGCTTGCTTCTTCCCACCGTCATTTTTCATGTGAAATGGTAATTTCACATGAAAAGGCAGAAATGTTTTGAGAAGCAGGAAATGCTGTGTTCTCTTCCTGACTGCATCACTACCTCTGATACCAGCAAGTCATCTTAGCTTCCTGCTTGTTTCCCATAACTCCCATCCAAGTCTCTAAAGTTAAGACTCCAAGGTTGCACCTGAACAGATACACACTGTTCAAAGCACTGGGTGTACAGCTATGTTCATTTGCTTCTTGCAGCCAAGCCTGACCAGGAAATCTACTAAACATCTCTTCCTGCAGACTGAAAGAAAAAGTGTAGGAACTTGCATGACATTGAGTATCTCCTAATGTCGGATGGGTGTATTAACATTTGTTGAAGCCTACAACAAAATGCAGACTTGCAACATCTCTCAGGGTACTTAGCAGTTTACAATATGAATCACCATATTTCTAATTATGAACAGGAAAAAAATCCTCCAGGGATTAGCAAATAGATATTGCTAATATACTGCAATCAGCCATGGAAGGCCAATTCGTATCATGGCATGAATAAGAAAATATTAACAGAAAAAAAATCTCAGTTATGAACAAACAAACAAAAAATATCCTTGGGGAAAAAAAAAAAACAAACAAAAAAAACCAAAACAAAAACAAAAAAAAAAAACCAGTTATCTGTGGGGGTTTGCCCTAAGATGTTACAAAAACTAACACAGACTAAACAATTGTTATGAATGCTGACCTATACTACCTTGTTCTCTCACTGTATACCCCAGTAACTTTAGAGATATGGACTTTGCAAATGGTATCAAAGCTGTATGTGGATGGAAATCCAAGATATTTAAAAGCTGAGAAGATAGACTGTCTGCTAACTATCCATCAAGAGAAATAAAGAAGCTCAAACAATTTATAGAAATACACATTTACTCAGGGAAAATCTCTGTTTTACTGTCATAAGCAACATTATCTTCCTAGGATTAATGGATGAACTAGCAAAATCTGATTCCCTCAATGTACTTGGTAGATACCAGAAGACAAACTTTTTGATCTGGCCTATATGAAGTTGCTGTAATCAGAACAGCTTTTCACATTGTCCTAAACATTTTTGCTAACATACATCATCATCCACAGAAACTGAGAATGTGATTATAGACAAAAAGGGAATCGAGTCAGTAGGGATAGGTGGCTTTTATGGCCAGTTGTATTTATCAGAATTAAAATCTAGAAAGATCTAGAAAAAATACTGGAAATTTCGTGTGATTTCTTGGAATAAAAGCTTCTATGCAGCAACAAAAGTAGGTTAATTTGATAAGTAAGTAATAGGGCAGGTTGAGATTGTTGTAACAACCTCTGACATTTGTGAATTCCAGCCAGAATACACAATGGTGCAAAAGTTATAGAAACATTGTCAGGAAACTCACAGAGAGTTATACAGCCCTCTTGCCATAAAGCAGCATCAGCTATAATTGCCTCTCAATCAACGGCTGATGGCTTGTCTGGATTATGGACTGCTCATATTGTAAATCCAGAGACTCCTGAAAGGCTCCACATGAGCCAGCTCATATCCACGAGAAGGAGAGTTGTGTTGGCAGGACACCGACACGCTGGTGTGCTCCACAACTGCCAGGTCCTCCCACCTCTGCAGTCACCACTGTCACCAGGTCTCTCTTTTCCCCATTTCATTCTCAGGGAATGATCCCATAGACCATCTTGCATTCATCCTATACTTCCTGGGGTTTGAGGTAGGGTTTGAGGTGTTTCGTTTCTTTCTCTTTTCAGCATTTGATTGAGCTGAAAACAAGAGGACAAGCCATTTTGCCCCTATTTGAATCAGTCATTTGAAGAGTTTCAAGCTCAGACAAGTTTTGAACTGAAGTAGAAAGTATTACAGCTGGGCTCTGACTTACCAAGGTAACAGCTACCCACCAGCTTCAACCCTCCTGCTTTTCCTTCAAGAGCTCAAAACTGTGTTCAGAATAGGAAGTACCTTGACTAGAATGATATGAACTTTCCAAGGACCTACAAAACTGGGGGATTAGCTATGACAAACCCTAGTTCACATCCAGTTCATCCCTGATCCTATTTGATTGCCTCTATTTTATACTGCAGTTATTGAAACACAACAGATTGCAGTGAAATAAACACAGTATTTTCAGATTTATATTCTAACATTTTAAATCTTATCAGTATGCAGCACTATGAAGAGGATTGTGGATGCTGATCTAATCCACCTACTTTTCTGGTGGCCAGATTTTCTGTAATAAAAATGCAAATAATCCCTAGAATGACATACCAGTTATAAATACTTCTACTTTTCTTCTGTAAACTGTCATCCAATTGTCTTTCCTTGCTAAGTATGCTTATTTGTTAAGAATATCTTTTTTTATGCTAAAGAAGCTAAATCCAACATGACCTTGAGAGTGATCAATTTAAATACAACACTGCCTTTCTAGATATAGTAGTTATTTCTCCCAATATGTTTCTGGTACATATCCTTAAATAGATATTGATTCCCTAGTTCCTTAACTTTGCAATTTTAAAGTTATATATTCTAGCTCGTTAAGGTCTGAAAAAATCCTTGGGTTGAATTCACAGTTTCAGTGACTTAAGTGCAATGTGAAGAACTACACGTGTAAATGGCCAATTCCATTAATTTACAGCTTATTTATTTACAATTTATATTAATATATAGCTTCTAAATTTGAGAAAAAATATTCACAAGTAAATTAGTTATGCAATTGTATTTTAGAATTGCTTATGCAGTTGCTCTGAGGCCATTAAAAAAAGCAGATACTTTTACTTCTATGTTCCACATGAGGAATCAAAGATGTATTAAGAAAAAGCTGCATACCTGCTTGTTAGGTATTCCAGACTTAAATTTTGAACTACTGAGCTGTCCCAAGCTAAGGATTCAACTGAGAGGAAAAACTTGCAGGGCTAAAAAACACCCTAGAGACTTCCTGATGGGATATTTATTCGTTATGCAATGGTTCAAAATAATTCATACACAGATTGTTTGTATTAAAATGAACACTTCTATTCACTTTCTCAATTTCCCACCATTTTCCATTTAGAGGTTCTGAAACACCTTGCAGCTACTAATGTAATAAGCCCATGATATTTCTGTGAAGATAAGAGAAATTATTCTCATGAGGTTTGGACTGATTCAGCACTGCTTGTATTAGTGGCAGGTTTCATCTTGATCTTTTTCTTCTCTGGTAGTAGAGATTGCTCATGTGTATAACCTGTTTACGAAAGAGTTTATCTCAAGAGGCTGCTACAAAGGAGACATAAATGATCTTAACAAACTAAAGAATGAAAAAAGAAATTTAATGTGCAACAAAGACAAAATGAGGTGCAGAATAGAAACAAAACATTTGTGTAGGAAAGAAATACAACTTTGGTATTAAAACCACCAATGTTCCCAAATTCAGAAATATATAGAGAGTTACCAGCATATATCAGCACAATGGAAACAGCCTTTTGAATTGAAATGAGGACATTTTGATATTTTATTTGGTGTTGGGGGGAGGGGATTTTTTATTTTTGGTAGTATAAATGTCTTCAACCATGTCATAAAATGAAATCATTTCAGTTATCACTATTGAAAATTTCAGACTTACAGGAAATTTACACTGAACATGTATTTTTCACATGGGGAGATTTACCAGAAGGAAGACTACTGAGCACAGAACTGAGGAATCAGTGAAGGATATGGTAGTTTTCTCATATCACTGTGTGGATTCACAAAAGCTCTGCATTCCATGATAACCAAGAAAGCTATACAGCTCCACTCAATTAGTGCTGCAACTTCATCCAGCCTAGATGTGGCTTCAATACAACACTAACATTACAGGAGAACAAGCCCAGGAAATTTCAGCTGCTACAGCCTGTATATCAGAATGCTTTTCTTCCTCCCACAGTTGTATTCAGCAGTATTTACTAACCTGTTTCTAGGGGAAATAAGGAGCTGGGTTTCACTTCAGTACCCTTAATAAATCAAGAAGCAGGTAGGAGCAGGGATAAGCGAATTTCCTATCTTCCAGATGGATCCGCTGCTTCTTGCTGGGAGAAACAGGGATATTCACTTTCCCTGTAAAGTCATCAGGTATCAGATTTGCTGATTTCCAAGGAGTACCTTATTGTCCCTGTGGACTCTTCTCAGGTTTGGCGCAAGAGAATTCTCTACCTTTCCTGTTGAATCTCTGTCATTGTGCAATGAAGTATTTTGGTTCCTGGGGGCCAGAAGAGGGAAACACAAGCATAAGCATGAACAATTTGTGACTTGGATCTAAAGGGCAAGACCTAAGGAGACAAGAAGCCTGGATTTTGGTCCTTGTTCCATACATATCTCTATTTCCCTCTCTTACATGCAGCTATCAGGATAAACCATGCATGAATCAGGGTACTAATCATGTTCACAGAGAGCTGAAGCCTCTCTCACTTGGCAGTCAGCTCAAAAGTTTGCTCTCTTTTTCTCAGGGCCCTACAACATTCTTATCTAAGCTGTCCATAGCTTTCCTTTTCATCTGTTTTTGTACTGCTTCTAGAGCTTCTTTGTTCATTCCCACACAAGCAAACAGGCACAGTAGGTCCAGTGAATTCTTTGTGTGTTGAATATACTGTACATCAGTACAGTACATGATGGGTAGGTCTGGCATGTCTGGGAAATATTGAACTGCCTGAGCATGCAATCCAACATGTCTGGGATTTCCATGCTGGCTATGTACATAAGTCCTGGAAAAATACCTACGTATTTTTCATAGACCAGTTCATTTTTTCACATGAGGGGATTAATACATTATAATCAGTTCACTTTTCATCTTTTGATAAACTAAGCCTATTAAATTCAAGCCTCTGACCATGTATTGTATAGTGCAGCATCCTCCCTAGCACTAAAATCACTGTTGTGATTCCTTTCTGCACAATCTCAGGTTTGTGAACAGTGTTTTAAAAATACAGTCGCAGGAATTGCATGCCTCGTTCAAAAAGCAATCTCAGCGATGCTATACATGGAAGGCAAAACCCCTTCATGCGCCTCGTCAGTAAAATACATGACCAAAAGGCAGTGTTTCCAGGCTGTAGGAAACAGTAGGTTTTTACAAACTACTCTCAATCAAATCACAGCGGTTTTTGGGTGGAATTTTCTGGTGAATCAAAAGTACTCTGACCCCTGCAGGTGCTTCGAAAAACTGACACGAGAGGGCTGATGACGAGGGGAGGAAGAATTTGCATTTTTGAGGAAACGGCACAAAACTTCTTACTTGGTATGGCGCTTCACCAGGGAGTATCGTTCATTGGCATAACATTCCAGAGTTTGAAGCCTTGTCTAATATGACCTTCAGGGTGCTTTCCTGACCTACTGCTTTCCAGAATGCAGAAACACAATGTTTTTGGTTGTCCTCAAATGTATACACTGGTTTTGTTTATACCAAAACATTTAGCAAGACCAGCTTGTAATTTACTTTCTAAATCTCTTAAAAAACATATCACAGTATTTCTTCAGATACTCTTGTCCAGTAAATCACTGTTTGTTCATTTGTTGTTGAGATATGTCAGCTGAATGGCCCTAATCTGTTTAATGTATGCTGTATCAAGTGTTTTATTGCAATAATGGGGTTTCACTGAGAAACCGACCAATGTCTTGCAAACTATTGAGATTAATAAAAACATTGTAGCTCTTGAAAAATATCTCCTACAATTTAGTTTAAGTTCTGAATGGATCACAATACAACCTGATATTCTGCTACAATAAAACCATTATTATTTTTTAAAATAGATAAATCTGGAAAATGCTTTCTTTTAGACAAATATGGAAATGCTTTAGTTTTCAACATCATGTTACATGGTTGCACTGATTCCATTACCAATGGGCCGGTTCTAGCAACAGGGAATCTTTGCTATAGTAGGTATTTAGGATGGAGTAAACAATGGTGAATTACAGTGCTTTTAAAACTCACCTAAAAGGTATGCTAGTGCTGAGAAAGCTTTACACTACAGTGCCGTCTCTTCCTGGTGGCAACTCTGTATTGCCAGTTGGAGCTTTGCTCTTCCATAGCAACTCCTCGCCTGACATGAGAACTGGCTGTGCCAGAGGGAACGTGTGTGTGGGACTAGAGAAACTGCAGGAACCATGTCTTGGCCTCTCTGTAATAATCTCTGTTAAGGTTCCAGACCCTCCTTCCCAAACTGATGGCACCGGTACACGGAATCCAAGCCTTCCCAGGCTCAGCACCCTGCAGATGACAAAATCCACTTGCGGAGCCAATGGCTTCATACTCTAAATGATCCCAGCTCCGAGCATTCCTGACCGCGTGACCCATCGTTCCCAAAGCTGCCATCGCACCTTCGGCTGGGAAGGACACGGCAGCGGCAGGTCCCGCTCTGAAATTGCACCGAGGGGCTGCCCTGTGCGGCCAACTACCTCCTGTTTCCTGCCGTCTCCTCCGCCCGGTCGCTGCCGCCCGCAGACAGGGCATCATTTTGACCTCCGGCAACACCGTTACTCTCGGTTTCCCTCCCGCCGCCCCCTCGCCCCGGCTCGGGGCAGGCACCTCCGGCCAGCCGCACTCCCCCGGAGCGAGCGCCGCGCCGAGCGCTGCCGCCTGCCGGCCTTGCAGGGCCACGCCACCGCCACAGCGCCGCCGCACCTCCCGCCGCCGCTCCGGGCCGTCCTTGGCCCGCGCAGCCCCAACGGACCGGGCGGCGGCAGGGCCGCGGCTGCCCGGCCGGCTCTGGGCGGTGACGGCAGCCGCTCGGTAGGGAAGACCGGCCGGTAGCCGCGGGCGCCTTTTGTCCGTGTGCCGCCGAAGAGTACCAGGCGGCCCGGGGTCGGCTTTTGGTGCCGAGAGCGGCGGGCGGGCGAGCGGCGGCACCGCCGCTTGTTTATGAGCGGGCAGAGGGGCGGCCCGGGATAGCGCTGCGCCGCCGCCACAGCGGGACAGCCCCTCCCGCCCCCGCGGAGCGGATCCGCCACGGCTCTCCCGCACCCGCGGGGCACCTGGGCGCGCCCGGGAGCTCGGCTACGGGAACGGAACGGGGCGGGGCGCGGAGCGACCGGCTCTTCTCTCCCGTGGCGCTGGGGCTAAGAGGGCGCGGAGCCGCTCCCCGTCCCGGATCCCCGCGCCCCTCGAGGGAGCAGGCAGAGGAAGAGGAGGAGGCTCTCGCCGCCACGGCGAGGCCCCATTTACGGCTCCCCGCAGCATCGCCCTGCTGGGGCTGCGCCCTTTGCGGGGCCCTCTCCCTCCCCGACCCCGGTGTCCCCCGGGCCGCCGCCAGCCCGTCCCCGCGGTCTGGCGCCGCCGCCCCGCTCCGCTCCGCGCCCAGAGCCCCGGGAGGGGGGGGAGGGGAGGTGCGGGGGGAGGCGGAGGCGGCGGCCGCTGTGGGGCCCAGGCTGCTCCTCGCCTCCGCTGCGCCTCTTCCAGCCCCAGGATCTGGGGCTGGGGGGGCGCGGGAGGAAAGGGGGCGGGACAGCCCCAGCAGTGCCCAATGAGAGAGGCGCGGACGGGCACTTGGGGCGGTGCGGAGGCGATCATCGCCCAATGGGGGCAGGGCAGAGGGCGCACTTGGAGCGGGGCGAGAGTGAGGCAGGAGGCGAGTTGGGGCTCGGGACGCGAGGGGGACAGAGCCAGCCGCCGCTGTCGCCGCCGCGCGCGCAGCCGCTCGCACGCACGGCGCCGCGGAACCGGGGACCGGCGGGCGAGGGACGCACGGGCTGAGGGACGCCGCTTCCCGGAGGGGGCAGCGGGCGGAGCCGCCACCCGGAGGAGAAAATTGGCTGAAGCCGCCGCCGCCGCCGCCGAGAGAGGAAACTTTCCTCGGGGGGCCGGAGGCGGGGGCGGCGGGAAGGAGCCGCGGCACGCTCGGGTCCGCCGCCCGGCGAGGGGGCTTCCGAGAGGCTCCCCCCGGCCCAGGCCGGGCTGCGGCGGCTGGGATGTACCTGGCAGCGGTCTCGGCGGGGAGGAGACGCCCGGGCGGAGACGGCGGCTGGCACCTGGCGGCCGCGGGGTGGCTGTTCCTGCTGGCCCTGCTGCTGGGCGAGTCGGGGACGCGTGCTCTCGTCTGCTTACCCTGCGACGAATCCAAATGCGAAGAGCCGAAGAGCTGCCCCGGTAGCATCGTGCTGGGGATCTGCGGTTGCTGTTTCATGTGCGCTCGGCAGCGGAACGAGAGCTGCGGGGGAGTCTATGGGCTGCACGGAGCTTGCGACCGGGGCTTGCGCTGTGTCATCCGACCGCCGCTCAACGGAGACTCCATCACCGAGTACGAAGTGGGCGTCTGCGAAGGTGAGAGGCGGCGGGACACCCTCCATCCCTCCATCCGTCCGCCGGGGTGGGGGTACCCGATGGGCGGCGGGAAAGGAAGGAGGGCGCACCTAAGACCTCTTAGGCGCCGGTGCGCCTTCCTTCCCTTCCAGCCCGCCCGCCTGTCCCATCCGCGAGCGTGTCTTCTAACCTTCCCTGCTTAAAAAACCCCACAGGCTCCTGCTTTGAAGTTTTGTCCTTAATTTTCTTACCCTAAACTTTAGGGTTCTACTAATTCTCCGCAGCGTGTCACTGGGTTGCTGATAGCTTGTATTTGCTACTGATGCCCAGCTAAAATTCCTTGATAAAGGACTCGGGAAGAGTTTGGCAGATGGAGGTCAGTCGTGCACACATGATGCCTATTCCGGATTCCCTCCTGTGTAAAGAAACAAGGAAGACTGATCATCTGTTATAAAGTTTTGTTTCCTGTTCCTGTCACTTAATATCTCTCTGCCTGTCCTGCTCGGCGTATAATGATAAGGGGTGTCTCTTTCCCTGCTGGAGCATCAAGGGGGGAAATACCCACGGTAGAACTCCTCTCAAAGTCTCTTCAGCTTCCTGCCGTCTTATGAGGTGATGAATTGGTATGAAATGCAAAGAGACTTCCCCCCCCCCCCCCTTTCAGTTTTTTTATCTATCAGAATTCCTAAGCTTTGTTTTTATGTTATACATTAATGGAAGGCCAGAGACAAATTTTTAGTCTCTTTCTCTTGTACCTCCAATTGCCTTTTCCCCCAAGTTGAGGGAAAACATGGCGCTGTAAAGAGATTACAAATAAACCGTAGTTTGGGATATGTGTAAATGTATATGTGATTCGGAGCGGGAGCTTCGACAATTCTGGAAAAGGAGACGGAGGCGGTCCCCTCTCGGCGGGTAGAGGGCAGTAGAAAGTCCAGAGAGCTGGTGAGCATCTGTCCAAAAAACTTGCATTTAAAATGATGCACTATTTTAAGAAAGCTAAACCCGGTCATTTTTAGTGGGCAGCTGACCTTTGTCCTGGCGCTCATTATTAGTTTAAAACTCTATTTGCCTCCATAACAAATAAATTGCAAACCACAGCAGAGCAGAGCAGTGCGTCCTGTCTGTGCCACGACCAATGCTGTCAGCCTCACAAGCTGATGCTTGGGTGGGATGAGCTCTAGATTAAAAGCTCGATTGTTTAATATTTTTAAATGGCCCTGAACTATTCTGAAGACCTTGGCTGAGAATATGTTGCTGAATATGTACCTTGCTGTAGTGTCTTATTTTTAATATGCATTAGAAAAGTTTTTGTAAATAGAAAAGTACAAGTCCGAGCAAAGGTACTTTGAAAACTTACCTGGTTTTGCAGGAGTTTCTCGTGTTGTGTGTTTTTGAGTAAAAGCTGAGCTAAAAAAACTTCCCTCTTCTTGATGGTTAAAGGAACTAAGAGCCTACAGTCATTAAAAGCCTTAATGCTCCAATTTCCTTACTGTATCACAGTATGGACATCTCTGGCAGTTTAGGAGTATTTCATTCCTTTCAAGTGATGCAATCTGTACGTTGCTGTAGTTCAACTCATAACACGTCCCATCTACTGTTGAAAATAGTATGAAGCATTTGTTGGCAAGATTGTGTTTCAATTAGTGTTGTGGTTAGAAACTAGTTCCAGCTGTCCCTATAGGAATAGTCCTAGGGGAGGGAGATAATGATCTATTAACTATAACTAAGGGAGATAACTTTCCTATTTAATTTTCTTATTCTAACTTATCTATTTCATTTTCATTCTCATAAATGAAAAGGAGCTGAGCTGAACTGTCAGCCTAATAAATAATCCTGGAATACCTATTAGTGAATTGTCAGGAAACTGCCTCATTCTGAGGAACAGAGGTAATATGTTCTTCATGGTGCATGTTTTGCACATGAGGTGGCAGCAAGGATAAAAGGGTACTGATTGTACTGCCTCTGATCGCGAATATGAGGTTGAATAGCTCTGGTTTTTTGATTGTGATGACCTAAACAGTTGCTCAGTTTACAGGCACACATGCGACAGGCTAGGCTGGTGATGCCTGATGTGAGTAGTATTAAGCCATGCCTTTATCCACTAACAGAATAAAGGCTGCGCTTTTTTTGTTATCTTGCATGTTAGGAGTGCAAACCCTTTCCTTCCCCAGCCCTAGGAGGAGGAAATGGAAGTGTCTTAAAGAACTGTGTGAATAGAAATTCATGTTTTTACTCTCCTTTCTGTCTCTAGTCTTTTATTTCATTGCAATTTTTTACACTGAAATGACCCCTACTGGCTACAGTTATAAGCATGTTTTTTTGTATCATTTTTGAAGCTTCAACCCTGTCTAATTTCAGACTATCAGCATATGCTAGGCTGCAAAAGACTCTGAGAGCTGGAATAGCAACAGGTAGAAATACTTGTCTGCTAACTTGTTTTTAGTATTTAACGTACTTGACATAAATGAGTTCTGTAACA